TCGACTCTGGAGAGCGTGGTGAATGGGATTCCTCTGATCGCGTGGCCGCTGTACGCGGAGCAGAGGATGAACGCGGTGATGCTGACGGAGGAAATTAAGGTGGCGATGAGAGCAGAGGCGAAAGGGGAAAATGGGATTGTGGAGAAGGAGGAGATTTGCAGAGTTGTGAAGTCGCTGATGGAAGGGGAAGAGGGGAAGAAACTGAGGACGAAAATGAAAGAATTGAAAGAAGCAGGGGAAAGAGCATTGGGAGAAAATGGATCTTCTACTAAAATCCTCTGTGAATTGGTTCAGAAATGGAAGAGCAAGATTTGCAGTTAGAACTTAGAAACTCTCTGTAATTTTTTATTCCCCTTCTCTCTCTTAGAAAATAATGCCTCGTCCATAATAAAAGCATCTTGTGTTTTGTTCATTTCAAAAAAATATCATCTACTTTATTTGTCTATTATTATTATTATTTTTTATCATGGGATCATGAGTACATGGAAAAGTAGTTGTTTACTTACCCCTTTTTTTCTTTTAAGTTTCAATCATATTGTGTTATAGAGAGACTGACTTTATTCCAAACTAATAAATAAATATGATGTGTAATGTAATGGATGTGGCATGGATCATTATTTTTAAAAAATTATATTAGGATATATATGGATATTGTGGTGATTAGTTTATTATTTTTTAAGTGGCCAATATCAATCATTATATTAATCCATTTCATATTCAAAATTTATCTTAATCTGTTTAATTTAGTAAATAATGATATTTTAAATATAAGCAGTATAAACATAGACAAATTGAGAATTGTTCAAATGAGTTCACCAAGCATGATGCAAACTTTGAGAGTTTGACAACTCATTTACGATTTGTTAAAATAAAAGTATGACAATATATACGAAAATAAAAAATCAATCATTTTGCATTGAAATTGTGAAATAAGAAGTATACAAAATTTGAATGGGCCGTAATAGAAGCCCATGTGGAAAAAGCAAATTGCAGAAGTGGATGATGGAGAAGCTTCTACCAGCTGCAGCTGCACTCAATTTTCAGTGTCCCCTTCTCCAAGTAATAATTCTATTTTGGATGCTAAAAATTAAAATGGTGGAATTCCCTTTTTCTCCAAAAATTTCGGTACCACACGGGATTACGATTATGGATACTCCTCGTCTAATCATTTTTAACTTCAAAAATTTCTCTCTTTTTTCCTCTTACCATGCAAATCTTTCAATTTTTTTTTTTTAAATTTACCATAAATATTAAATATATTGAGTAGTTTAAACTAATTTTAGCTTTTAAAGCTCTCTCTTTAATCTTCCCAAGCGATAGGATAAAAATTATAATTATAATTAAAAAAGAGAGAAAAATCCTTAACTTTTTGTTTGGCAGTTCACTTTGATCCAAATGTTTCAAAATCATGCACTTTTGGTCCCTAAGTTTTTGAAATGGGTTAAAATAGTCCGATGTTGTCTACGGTTAGATATCCTATGAAAAGTATGACAAAACTGACACGACATATATGAGGTTATAACGATATTCAATTCGTGTTATGTCCATAGCGTGATCATAAATCATGATCCATCCACATGAAAATATACCGTCATGTTACCCATTCATTCGATTACTTTATGTTATTGGTCATTGCGTAGCACGATTACATAACCTAGCACAGTGATCATAAACCTTAACACCTCCGCATGAAAAATAAGATTTGTATTGGTTTTCCATGCGATGCCCTTTAATGCCATCATTAGTCTTATTGTAGTGCTAATATAAGTTCGCATTACATGATACTTTATAATTAACACGTGTGTGGAGTATTCAAGGCTAACATTAATAACTTCTCAAAAAATTAGTTTTATGCTGCGTAAGGAGTTTTGTGGAGTATATGGTCAAAGACAAAAGACAATTTCTTGTAGTTCTTTATATTATTATTATTATTTTTTGAGTTTTTGATTTCATGTATTCATTCCTTCCATGTTCGAGGCTTGGTCCTTAGACCACGGCAACTTATCCAAGTGTTGTTGCTCTTCAAAATACACTTTTCTTCTGGGTTTTTTATTATTTTATTTTTAAAGTTTGGTCTTTTTCTTGCACTGTTTCTCTTTATCTTTTGATGTTTCTAAGTTATCTTAGGGTAACAACATTTGAGAAACCATCTAAACCTATTTTTGAAATCTAGGGAAAAAAATGCACGATTTTGAAACATAATAAACAAAGCGATCTATCACCAAGAACACATTAAAAAATCAAGTCTCCAAAGTCACACTTTGCTTCCTTCTTTTCTTTTGATCTACCATTCAAACAATTTTATTTTTTATTAGTTTCTTCCAATTATGTTAGCATTAAACAAGATATTGAACTTTCTTACTCCAAACTAAAGCTTATCCTTTTTTGTCTCACATTGACCATCAAGAGAGATACTCGATAGCAAAGAGATCGATTAATTTGTAGTCAATTACCCAAAATCTTTAGAAGAATAAACTTGGGTTCGCCTTTTCATATTCCCTTCCCAAAAAAACAAAAGGAAAGTGAAAAAAGATGCCTCAAATCCCCCTTCCAAAATTGGCCATTCAATTGGACTCCTCGCCCCATTCTCTCTGTATTCTCCGCCACGCGCCGCCATGGAAGCCGCTCCCACTCCCCACATACTCATGCTTCCCAGCCCCGGCATGGGCCATTTGATCCCACTCCTCGAATTCGCCAAGCGCCTCCTCCGCCTCTCCGATCACTCCTTCGCCGTCACTTTC